TGGCCAGCAGGTCGAGGGAGGTGATTCTGCCCCTCTACTCAGCTCTGGTGAGACCTCACCTGGAGTACTGCGTCCAGCTCTGGAGCCCTCAGCACAAGAAGGACATGGAACTGTTGGAACGGGTCCAGAGGAGGGCTACAAAAATGATCCGAGGGCTGGAGCACCTCTCCTATGAGGACAGGCTGAGAGAGTTGGGCTTGTTCAGTCTGGAGAAAAGGAGGCTACGGGGAGACCTGATTGCGGCCTTCCAGTACCTAAAGGGGGCCTATAGGAAAGATGGGGAACGTCTTTTTAGTAGGGCCAGCTGTGTTAGGACAAGGGGAAATGGTTTTAAACTAGAACAGGGTAGGTTCAGGCTAGAGGTAAGGAAGAAATTTTTTACAATGAGGGTGGTAAAACACTGGAACAGGTTGCCCAGAGAGGTAGTGGAGGCCCCATCCCTGGGAACATTCAAGGCCAGGTTGGATGGGGCTCTGAGCAACCTGATCTAGTTAGCAGTGTCCCTGCTCACTGCAGGGGGGTTGGACTAGATGACCACTAGTGGTCCCTTCCAACCCTAAACATTCTATGATTCTATGATTCTATGACAGGCTGAGGGAGTTGGGCTTGTTCAGCCTGGAGAAGAGAAGGCTGCAGGGAGACCTGATTATGACCTTTCAATACCTAAAGGGAGCCTATAGGAAAGATGGGGAAAATCTTTTTAGTAGGGCCAGCTGTGTTAGGACAAGGGGGAATGGTTTTAAACTAAACCAGGGTAGGTTTAGACTAGATATAAGGAAGACATTTTTTACAATGAGGGTGGTGAAACACTGGAACAGGTTGCCCAGGGAGGTAGTGAAGGCCCCATCCCTGGAAGCATTCAAGGCCAGGTTGGACGGGGCTCTGAGCAACCTGATCTGGTTAGCAGTGTCCCTGCTCCTGCAGGGGGGTTGGACTAGATGGCCTCTAGGGGTCCCTTCCTACCCAAAACATTCTATGATTCTATGATCTGTGAGAATGGGTAGGGAAATCTTTTGTTCCCATTATAGCACTGACTATAATGTGTGTTACGGTGATACATCGGGTTTTGTGACAATGCAAAATACATACTCTGGTTTAGCTACCAATACTTCACTTGGCAGGCTGGGAGTCGCTTTGCCATATCTAGTATGGTCTCACCTGGGGTCTTTCAGCATTAATTTAAATTTGATATCAGTTATTTCTTTCTCTGACTTTTCTGTTGTCAGGATTTCTGTTTAACTGCATATTAGTAAATAGAGCTCCAGTCATTTTTGCTCTCTTCCTCTTTCCTTTTTATTTACATCTATCAACATCCAGACTGAATAAGCCAAGCCTAGCACCTAGTATTCTGTGCTAGAGTACTCTGTGCTCTAATTATACTTTCTAACCATATATCTTATTTTAAGACATTCATCCAGTATTATTGAACTGTGTCACAGTGTAGATTCAGAAAGCTTAAAAGTCTGAGTGTATTTGAAAAACATCTATTTGCTCCATCTAGAGGTGCTTTTCCCCTTCCCTTTAAAGAGGCTACATAAAAAATTCTTTATTAGATTCAGATTCTGATTTCCCCTGAGGCCTTTTGATCCATCTATATAAATAGTTTGGTTGAACAAAGCAGGGAAGTTCTACTAAATAAAGGCTCTGAGCCAATAGCACAGAGTGGAACAAATACTGGATCAGACCTTAAACCCATTTTCTCAGTAAAAAATATCCTATCCTGAGAGTCAGCACAGTATCTGGGCAGCTCATAAGCCTATTTCTGGCAGCTTAAAGGTACACATAGAGCATTGGTTTAGGTCTCCAAAACAGACATGAGTAATAGTCCAAATAGTACTGGTCTGTTCCACTAACAAAACCAGGGCTGCTTAGGGGTTCTCCTGCTAGAACCTAGCCTAAAATTTGCTGAGACGAGTGCAGCTGCAGTACAGGGCATGGTGCAAAGTGGGCAAAACTACACGCTCCAAGACAATGCAGTTTGAACCACAAATGAAGGAAAGATGCAAGTTCGGCACAGAACTGTTCCTATGGAATGGGTTAAAACAGGCATTGACTGATCCAGACAAAGTTAACAAGCGCTACAGCCCGAACAGCTATCTTTTCTGCTTGCAAACATCACCTTAATATTCATGGTATTTAGATTTTCAAACACTGCAGTTATGTGTTGCTACACTCCTTATGAAAAACACAGACTTGTTTCCAGTGTTTCTTTATAATGTGGAATAGTGATCTCAGATTTATAGCAAACATTAATAAACATAATAAATTTTTAAATCCTGATTTTACAACTCTTTTTTCTTTTGTATTTAGAAGCAAATGCATGGATTTACCGGTTACAGGGTAGAACTAAGTTATGGAATCAGATTATTATACAGTTCTGCCCTTAAATAAAAATTTTATGGATATTCTAACAGGCATTTACATAGATTATAATAGCATTTCTGTTTAGAAAAATAATCCATAGAACTGGAAAATAACATAAAACAAATGGGTCTCTTAGGAATCATTCAGAATATTACTTTGGTCACATAAGACAGGTTGTTTTACACACTTTAGACGTTTTATTTTCTGTTTACACATACCTGTCATTATCTTCCTAATAACACACTGTACAAAGGGGGAAGGGTAGGGACTGTTGCTTTTCTGTTTAAGGAAAATCAAGTTGGAAAAAATTATTTATTTTAAATATAGGCTCTGAAGAGAAAAACTGCAGAACAAAAAGTGTGATGCGCAAAATCAAATTTCTATAATTTGAAGTAGTAATAAAATTGCTATTTTAATATAGCCAATGTAAGAAAGTTTAATTTCTAATCAGACCAGAATCTCTCCTTAAAATGCTGTAATTTGAAACACACCTGTCACAGTTAGGTCCTACTCTGTTGATTAATTTTTCCATAACTTCTTCTGTTTCTCTCAGCTTTTCCTGAAGTTGAGTGAGCTCATAGTCAGCTGTAAAACAAACAAAATCCCAAAAACCGTCAGTAGGAGCTTTGCACATGTATCCCTGTCCCAGTAGCACAGGTACAGCAGCAGCAAGCCAAGTGGGCTGTGAGGAAACTAACACATGCAGCTTAAAGAGTTCTACCTACTTTTCCTGGTATAAGGTGGTGAAGACTATTGCCAATGGTAATAGGATATACAGAAAGCACCTTCCTTCAAAGGCTCCCAAGCAACCTCCCAATAAGCAGGGTGAGTGGGCCACTGTAAATGCCCTGGAGACTAAAGTTAGGGAAAATACCTTTTTTTCTTTTCTTTTTTTTTTTTTTTTTTAAGGGACCCTAGTGGGTTTGCTGCTTTTGGACAAAGAGGCCCTGTTATTCCCTTCTTGTTTTCCACAAATGTAGGTGCTGATTCTCTGTAAATGCCCTGGGGACTAAAGTTAGGGAAAATACCTTTTTTTTTTTTTTTTTTTTTTTTTTTTTTTTAAGGAGACCATAGTGGTTTACTGTCTACTGCAGAATTACTAGTTCTCATGGCATTTTCCTGTTAAGTCCCTGGGAACAGACACAAAAGGTCACTTGAGCATTTTCTAACTAGTCTAAGATTTGAGAAACCACATCTTTGTCAAGGAAAACAAAGTTCATGGGCCTAATGGCATCCAACCCTGCACGGGTGTGCCAGGGTAGGCAGTGAGTGCTAGCGGCCTGCCAGGCTTACCGGGACGAACAACAGCGAGCCACAAGATGTCTGTCTGGGAAGCAAAACATGGTATGTCCATGGCTGCACTTTTTCAAAAAATGTGTCCATAGTACAATAATAGACACATATGCACACATACAGGAACACCCATACTGGCTTTAATTTAGCCAAAAGCATTAACAGTAAAGATGCAACAAGCATGGACATCGACAAAAATGCTTGAGCTCCTTGTTTGGCTTTTGTAGCTCATGTTCAAAATCCTATAGCTGCAACTTCATTGTTCCCAAATGCAGAACAATATGAAGCCATCCTAGGTTAGTTAAATAATCAGCTGCTACAGGCACACCCATTTAAGCAGCACAAAGGCACAATGGAACGCCAATATAGTAGGAATGGAGAAAACCATCCGCAAACATCCTGTTTTTGGGAAGACCTCTATTCTGCAGAGAATGTCATTACTTAATGTATCCCTGATGTAATTATTTTGCTTGTCTGAGACTTTAAAAATAGGGGAAGGGAAACTGACAAAAAGAAAGGAAGTTACTCCCTCCAAGTCACTATGGAAGTGGCTCCTAGTCCAGTGACTTGTCCCCTGCTCTGCTACAGCTTGCAATGAGTGCTTTAGGAATACAGACGAAGAGCTCTAGGGAAAGGGAGAATAATTTTCATCAATAGTTCTTCGGGTTATAATGATGGTAAATATTTAACTTACTGCAAAGTTAGTTTCTCTTACCAAGCATTAGAGAAAAAAATACAATTACCTTTGCTAATAAATTGCACAAAATTGCCAGGCACATGCAGTACAAGTGCACCGAAAATACAATCTATAGCACTGAGTACATTAGGTATTCCTAATATACGCATTAATGTCAAGATAATTACAGCTATGTTAAGAGAATTACCTTACTGCTAGTACTTTCTATAAAGCCTTAAGTACTGTTCTTTCCTTTTAGAATTTAGCCAGCTAAACACAATGCGTTTAAATACTGTTATGGTAACTACTCATCCAATCTTCAATAATAAGCTTATTAATTTATCTAATAAATGCCTACAAATAGTTTAACCTATCCCACTGATGTTTAGGTAAAATCACAGTAACATTTCAGAATACTGTTTTTTTTCTCATCAAAACTTTGAGCATTGCAAAAAGAGAAGGGAAAAAGTAGGGAAGTGTCTGGTGATGGCTAAAAATTCACAAATTCAAAAAAATGAAGGTAGCTTTTAATAATATCTTGATATGCTATTACTAGAATATTACGGATTATAGAATAATTATAGATGGACATCCTATTATCCACTTTTAATCATTAGCTACATAGCTTTTCAGCAAATCTGTACAGTTAATTCTGCGAACCTCATGAAAAGTCATTCCTTCCAGGGGGGCTCAGGATCAGGCTACTATCGCAGAGTCTCATTAGCTGAATGAGATTCAAAAGTGACGAAGTGACAGTGCAGTAATTCACTTGAACTCTTGCTCATTCCCACACAGAAGCTGGAGCAAACAGCAGCTTTACAGTGTGCCCAGAACTTGAACCCGATTGGACCACACCTCTACAGAGTCAACGGCTACACAGATACAACTCTGAAGTCATACTCACTGATTTTCCTCTTCATGTTTCCAGGTGCAGCAGTAGGGCATTTCCGCTCTCCAGCAATAGTTTTTCCCTTGGAAGCCAGCTGATGAGTGAAAAAAAGACGACCCTTCTATCAGTTACAGCAATAGCAATATATAAGCCCCAAAGGCAACAGAAAGAAGGACAGAAAACTAGAATATGCCAGAAAGTAACCACAGAAAAGCATGTCCAGCAGCAAAAACAGACAACCATGAAAGATGCCTGGCAGGTATTGCCAGCTGAAAACTCCTAAAAGACATGTGGAACAAACAATATTTTTAAGCACAGTGAAACCATAACTCACCAAAAATAACTTTTTCATTTTAGAATATTTATCTGTTCCAGTCTGATCTGGTTATTCTTGTGCATATAGGAGGGGAAAAAACAGTGCATTGGGCAATTATTGTGAAATAAAGGACAGGTTCTGAAGGCATTATATGTGACCCCACTTGTCCCTCTTGCAATGTTTTCTGCCATTATTCCTCATCAACTTTGTACCTGCAGCAAAGATACTGGATGGCTCTATACAGAAGTCGCAGGCTGTTTCTTTCTTCTTCTCTCTATTTGATCAGCTCACCCAATTCACCTAATTCTTGCCTCTTGTCTGTTCAGAACAAGCTCAACTGTTTGGACACCGCTCAGTCTGGATTCAGCCCCCACTCAAAGCAAAAAACATTTCCGCAAGTCCACTTCTCCCTCCTCCCACACAGCTGACTGTCATCACCTAAGATGCAAGTCACATCTGCATAAAGCCACTGCACAGGCAGTGGAAGCAGGGACAGGCATCCTGGGAAGAGTATAGGGAAGCGGTCAGGTTGTGTAGGAATGGGGTCAGGAAGGCCAAGGCGCAGCTAGAGCTAAACTTGGCTAGGGATGCAAAGAATAATAAGAAGGGTTTCTACAGGTATATCAGCCAGAAAAGGATGGTTAAAGAAAGTGTACCCCCACTGATGAGCAAGACTGGCAGGCTGGTAACAGCAGATGAGGAGAAGGCTGAGGTACTCAACACCTTTTTTGCCTCAGTCTTCACTGGCAACGTCTCTCCTCACCCCTCTCAAGTCGATGGATGGCATGAGGGGGACCGGGAGGGCAAAACCCCTCCTGCTGTAGGAGAAGACCAGGTTCGTGACCACCTGAGGAACCTGAATGCACATAAGTCCATGGGACCTGATGAGATGCATCCCAGAGTCCTGAGAGAACTGGCCGATGAAGTCGCC